TATCCAGACCATAGATGTTGCCAGAGCATAGAGTGCTGGATTTCAGAGGTTCAACCTGTACTAATTGTAAGAGCAACAGAGGTCAATTGTGCAAATCCTGGTCCCATCTAAGTCCAGCACACTATTTCCATTGATACCAACGGAAATTCACAATTGAGATAAAAACAATAGGCCTTCACCCCATTTCTATGTGCAGCTGCCCCTCCAGAACGTCTGTATGGGCAACTGCTCTGTTGCACCAGATGTCTGTCAGACATTACACATTGCTGAGAACCGCTTTCAAAAGAAGTAATACAAATCATCACATGGAGATTTCAGACTGCATTGAGACGAGTCTAAAACTAACCTAAGGTAGCTAGTGTGAAGGTAGGTAATCTCAATTGTAACTCGTTTTCAAACTGCACTGCTGAGGCTAAAATGAGCGAGTTGGAAACTATGCTTAATACTACTCACTGTTTAGAATAAGCAGCACCCAAGGTGAAAGTGATGCAGCATAAAATGAAATCAGAACCAAGACCATCTGGAAATTCATAATACAATCACCAGGAAAGTTTTGAGGTGTTTTTTGAAGGATACATAGCTAATAGAATTATACTTGAGACCTTCTGATAACATAAACAACCCTGAAAAAATCTAGGAACACTGGCCAAGCATAGTATGGAGATTTCTTCTGAAATGTCAAATTTAAAGACAGATGAGGTAAACTGTGTTTAAATATTTAACTTTTGAACCAGTCTGTCCTGACCTTGTGATATTTACTGTATGTCCTCTTTGAATCTGAATTTTCTGAATACCTGGACAATATCACATGTTCTGGAAACACTACAAAGGCTGTTCAGAACACTAGGGTTTTGTTCTAAAGACAACATATATTATTGTTTTAAAGAAAAAGCAACTTATAGGTCATTATCCCCTAATTACTGTCTTTCATGTAGATATTAGCCTGAACAAATTGCTGAGAAAACTACACTTAGAACTAGCAAGAATGAACACGTTACCCTCGTTAAATATTGCTGTCAAAGCCATTCTGCTTAGCACACTCTGGGCCTGCTCCCACTTACACTAAACTTCATTATAATTAAGAGTGATCAGTCAGCTTCAAACGGATTGCAAATCAGTGAGGAGAAGCATACAAATGTTTAGATGTCTGCATGAATTTTAGGTGAATTTGAATCTCTTTGTCAAGAAATCCCACTTGAAACATCACAGATGGTTTCTCCTGCCATTTCTAATACTTCCTGGTTTCAGCCAAGCTAGAAATACTGGATTGTGAGGAGATTTTTTTCTCACTGCATTATGGGATTTTATCATGGACAAAATTGTAAAGTGTAGAAGTGTGATACATTTGGTGCTATGCAAAAACTATGTAATGAAACCACATGAAGCACAGATGGTTTCTATTTTTTGTTATAAATTGAATACTCAGATTAGGTTCCCAGGGTGTGTGCTGAAGTGTGTGAACCTTTTTAATAACCCTCGGCTGACTCATGATTCTGCACTGAAAGAAAGCACATGCAACCTACATATTGTGCGACAAAAAATAAGGACCCAATTCTACCTTCTTTATAGCAAGTCCTGGTGATTCCAATGTGATTACTTGTGTGGTAAATTTCTGTTTGGTGTGAGTAAAGATGTCAGAATTGGCCCTCTAAGCCACAGTTCAGCAAAGCTATTAAGTATGTGTTTTACTCCTGATTATTTTTAAGCAAAAGTGTTACTATTTTTCTAATCTGCACATTCAAAAAAATGTTCATGTGGCCCAGCACATTTCACAAGCTGTTTTCAGAAATTGACCTGTAGTTTTAAAAGAAAAATTACCTGCAGTTTCATAGTTTGACAGCTTTCATTATGTGATGACTTCCAGTGGTTTTCCCAGCAAACTGCATTTTTGCCCATTTGATATAAGAATTCCATATTTTCTTCCAAGCATGCTGTATCTATGGAAGTTGCTCTTACAGAATAATTCATTCCCTTCACCACCAAATTAGTTAAGAGATGGACTTCGCTCAAAATGTTCAGAGAGGAAACCAAAACCTCATGCTTATATACAAATTCTTCTATAAAATTCTTTGATTGGAAAGTAGCCAAGGTCAGAAATATTACATGAATAGGCTCTCTTACAAGAGTTCCAGGATGTCTAGGTTTTAGTATGTCGGCAGAACCACAACATTGATCTTTCTTGTATTAGTCTGAAGAATCATACTTTTTAGTCAAAATAAGAAATACAAAGGGCCATATTGCAATATACAGACCTTTAGCTTTCCCCACATCCAAAGGCTCCTGTCTACACACAGAGATTTCTGTAAAACTAGTTAAATTCCTTTCCACCTCTTGCTCACAACTAGAAGAAGGAGTAGGAAATGCAAATAAAAAGCAGAAAGGATAACAAGAGACAATGGGGATAATAAGTAATCCCCTCCTTTCTGTTGGTTAGCAGTGGCAGACACATTAGAAACAGATGATGGCCGGAGAGTTGTTAAATAGAAAATTTGGACCTGAAGCTTCTAATGTACTTGGACACTTCTAGGACTGACGGCTAAGGAGGACAGTAGTAAAGATTTTAAAAAAGATGGAAGGAGGGAGATAATCAACTGAACACAAGCTCACACTCTGATGTGACCAAAAGGTTTGTTGAAATTCTTCCACAGGGAATCTGAAGTAGGAAGAGAGAGGTTATTTTACCTCTCTATTGGCACTAGTGTGACTGTTGCCGGAATACTGCAGCCAGGTTTGGGGTCCGCAATTCAAAATGGATGTTGAAATATTGGAAAGATTCAGAGAAGAGGCATTTGAATGACTGAAGGATTTGAAAACCTATTATTATGACAGACTTCAGTTCAATCTATTTAGCTTAACAACAAGAATGTTAAGGTGTGATCTGATTGCAGTTTTTCTACCTATATGGGGAACAAAAATTTCACAATGGACTCTTCAGTCTAGGGGACAAAGGTATACTGTGATCGAATGACTGGAAGTTCAAGCTAGAGTAACTCAGACTGGAGATTTTTAACCATGATGATGGTTAACCATAGGAACAATTTGCTCAGGGTCATGGAGACAGACTTCAGTTCAATCTATTTAGCTTAACAACAAGAATGTTAAGGTGTGATCTGATTGCAGTTTTTCTACCTATATGGGGAACAAAAATTTCACAATGGACTCTTCAGTCTAGGGGACAAAGGTATACTGTGATCGAATGACTGGAAGTTCAAGCTAGAGTAACTCAGACTGGAGATTTTTAACCATGATGATGGTTAACCATAGGAACAATTTGCTCAGGGTCATGGAGAATTATCCATTACTGACAACTTTGAAATCAACACTGAATGTTATTCCAGAAGATCTGCTCTACAAATTATTTTGAGAAAGTTCCAGGCCTGTTTTATACAGGAGGTCAGGCTAGAAGACACAATGATCATATCTGACTTGGAAGCTTTGAAAGCCCTCAGGCAGAGATCCACCGTTGTTACTGTTCACTAAAAGCATTCACGGTAAGTGCTCCAAGATCATTGGATTGGCTTTAAACAGTTTAGATTTGGTTTAGGCAGGAGTGAGTCTTGATGACAGACTTAAATGAGAACAGCCAGGAGTGGGGAGGATGAGTTGTGTGAGATCATGCCACTCATATAGAGTCAAATAGGAAAAACTCACTAACAGTGGACATGGCAGGTAGATGTTTGTAAAACAGGAAGTTCCACACCATCCCTCATGCCAGGAACCATTCAGCTCTGAAATCATATCTCCAGATGTCTAGTGTTAACTGACACTCCCAGATTATCATTTCCAATTTAATTCTTGTGGTATTTCTTAACATCTGAATGACACTGTATTCTGAAGATGCCTTCCCAACACAAACACACACACCCTCATCGGAGATACTCAGTTCTGTCACTGAGCAGGGTACCTTTTGCACTGAAAGGACTGCATATTGTGATGGTGTTTTTTAAGGAAATAGGACGATCCTGTTTATATGGCTATCAACTGACTAGCAGCCTGCCTTTCTGAGGAGACAATGGTCTCACTAATATTTCAGAGAAGATTTAAAAGTACTAAGTATCTTCCCCTCATGGGAGCCAATGACTAGGGAAAGTCAAAGCAAGATCAAATCGACAGGGCAAGAGAAAAAAATCATGTGGCTTGTCCTACCAGTATAACCCAGTATTACTAATAGTGAGTTAGTATTCTTGTCAGAGAGTCTGGGCAATAATGTTCATGTATGCCTTTGCCTGTCTCTCACTTTGCTGAGAGAGCACTAACTGGGACAAACCTCCAGACAAACTGCACTATAACGTGGCGGGTACTCACCTCCTTGGCATCTCCCACTGCGGGGTTGGGAATTACCTCTTTTCCAGCTCCTTTGCTCTACCACGAGTGGTTTCATGCTCTCTGTTTCTTGCCTGTCCTCACGGGTCAGGCAGTGCCTAGCCTTTTCACTTGCCTCAGTGGCCCAATGCAACACCCAATCTAGCTCCTTGCTCCAGGGGCATATTGTAGTCTGATTTGGCCATTCTCATCACTGGCAAAGGGAGAATGGTCCAGGCCTGCTTGCTCCTCTGGACACAGACTTAGGGACCCTCTAGCAGCAGCCACTACTGCCTTCTTCCTATTCCCCCTTACTGTCTTCTTCCCTGGGCCACTTTCCTGTAGCCTCAGCACCTTCAAGGCCCTTCTATGTCAGAGTCTCAGTCTAGTGGTCATCAGGCTAGTGCTCCGCCAGTCTCCTACTAATCTGCACTGCTTATCTAGGTGCTCCTGGGCAACAGGACCCATTTTCCTCCAGTTCCAGACAGCAACTGCTGAGCAACTTTTTATATAGCCTTTCCCGGATCTGATTGGCTGCCTCAGCAAGTCTTCTTATTAGCTTACAACAGGTCCTTTAATAATTGGAGGACTCTGAGCAGGTTCCTCTTGGCCTGCTTTAATCCTGCCTACTTACTTCTGAATGGACAGCTACACCACATGCACCAGCACACCAATCATGTTTTATCTGAAATGAAATACAACTTACCCAAATAGTTGTTGCTCTTGTACATCTCGGTAACGTTGATTTTAATGGCTCCTTCTGGAATTTCTACTATTTTGTGGTAGCCAAGGTTTGTTAGAGTGTGTTTGAAAATGCCAGAAACAACCTTGCAACCAGTGTTGTCCCCTCCGCATATTCCGCATTTATCGGCCACTTTGTCTGAGCCCAGGTAGTCATCACAGCCAATGCTCTGCAAAAATCAAACCAATATTTTTCAGAGTTTACAAATACTGTCTCATGAATCCTTCAGAATAGTAATCAACATAAACAACATCATATATGACTTTCACTGAATATAAAGACTTCATAGAGTCAATGAATGGCATTCGGGATTATTTTATTTCTTTGCTTTTCCACATGCTGAATGTAATAAAGTAATTACAAATATCCAAGTCACAGAACAGACAAAGCGATGCTCCATGACTGGAATTTTCAAATGAGCTTAGGGGTGTTGCAGCACTTGATCCTACCATGTCAGAGGGACTCATGCTCATCACCGTCAAAGCAAGTTTACCAAATGATGGACACTGCTGTGACACAGTGGCTGTGTCTAGACTGGCAAGTTTTTCCACAAAAGCAGCTGCTTTTGCTGAAAAACTTGCCAGCTGTCTACACTGGCCGCTTGAATTTCCGCAAGAACACTGACGATCTCATGTAAGAAATCAGTGTTCTTGCGGAAATACTGTGCTGCTCCCGTTCAGGCAAAAGTCCATTTGCGCAAAAGCTTTTGCTCAAAAGGGCCAGTGTAGACAGCTCAGATTTGTTTTGCGCAAAAAAGCCCTGATCGCAAAAATGATGATCGGGGCTTTTTTGCGCAAAAGCGCGGTTCCTTTTCCACAAAAAGTGCTTTTAAAAAGTGTGTTTAACCTACTGAACATCAGCAAGCAATGGCTTAATTTTATGCTTATATACACACAGGATGGATAATAAAGGAAGGCTGGGGAGTTTAGTCTCCATCAGCTACTCAATGGAAAGCCAAGAAGCCCCAAACAAGCAGTTATAGTAGCTGGTTGTCAAAGGCGAAACAAAGCAATAGTTGGAGACAAGGAGGTTACTTGCCTGTAACTGAAGGTTCTTTGAGATGTATGGTCCCTATTTGTAGTCCACTGAGGGTTTACACGAGTGCCATGTGTTTGGAGCCAGAGAATTTCGAAGTGGCATAATCCATTGATCCACACATGCACCCTTGTGTCACCTTATGGAGTAGTCCAAGGTGATAAAGGGCAGGGTGGACCGTCCACATCTCCAGTTCCTTCCCCACTGAAAATCCAGCAGATCTGCAGCAGAGCAGGAATTGGACTCTAGATAGGGACCACACATTGCAAAGAACTTCCAGATACAGGTAAGTACCCTCCTCTTCTTCTTCAAGTGATGCCCTCTATTGTATTCCACTAAGGGTAATCAACAAGCAGTTCCTAACTCAGAGGAGGATGAAAATGGAACAGTTAAGTGGAGGAAAGTCATCCATAACAAAATTCTGCACCAAGGCATGAAGATACTTGCCAAACTTCATGTAGCTACCCTACATATGTCCCAAAGCAGCATATCATGGAGAGTGGCCACCATGGATACTTGGGCTCTCATGGAATGGGCCCGTAGCCCAAAAGGTGATGACAGTCCTGACAACTAACAGCACAATGTAATGCATCCAGAAATTAATTTGGTGATTCTCTGTGTGGAAATTGTTGTTCCTCAACTCTCAGCTATTGCAATAAACAATTTAAGAGACTTTGTGATCAATCTTGTCCTCTGCAGGTAGAAACCCAAGGCCCAGAAGTCGTCAAGGGAGTCAAGTCAGTGCTCCTCTTTTGAGCCATGAGGCTTCAGGAAGAAAGCACATAAATGGATGGGTTGTTTGAAATAAAACTGAGAGGTGAATTCTGGTATAAACTTAAGATGTAGGTGCAGAGAGTAGTAAAAGGAGTGGGGGGAATGCCATTATGGCCCCAAGTTCTCCTATCCTTCTCAATGAAGTGATAGTCACAAGGTAGGTGACTTTCATGGAAAGATGGGTCATAGAGCATGAAGCCAATGGCTCAAAGTGTTGTTTAATCAGTGCCAACAGAACAAAATTGAGGTCCCATTGGGGAGCTATAAGTTGTACAGATAATACATTCACAGGAGATCTTTCTAAAACCTAGTAGTCAATGAATGTATAAATATGGAGTGTTTTTCCATGGCAAAATGGATCTTTAGAGAGTTTAGGGCAAGCCCTGACATCTTTAAGAATAGGAAATAATAAAAAAATTAAACTGTAAGTCCTCTGAGGAAAGTCCTTTTTTTGATGGGCAAAGGAGAAACAGCATTTCCACTTAGCCCAGTAGGAATG